TGCGCTCCCGGCCCCGCCTCCTTCGTCACCCCATTGGGTAGCTGGGAGTGGCCACACCCCCGGGGCGGGGCCGCCGCTTCCCGCCATCCCACGCTTCTTCCCGCCCTCCCGCGCCGGAGGGGAGGCTGGTCCGGTAAGGGAGGAGAGTGGGAAACAAAAATCAAGCTATAACTAATATATATTACATGGCGCAGCTCAAGGTTGCGTAGGGCAGGTCTAACGCCCCGTGCTCCGCTGCACTGAGGCGTATGTGGGGAGCAGGAATTGCAATTAAACATGCAAATTGCACGAGCTCACAGCCTCAGTGCTTCCCACCTTCAGCAGTAACTGTGGAGGGTGAAACAGAAATAGCCCCCAAGGGTAAAAGTAGGATAAAACACACACCCCCGTCATTAAGTAGTTTTTCAGCCTGCTGAATTTAATGTAGTGAAGAGCTGTTTAATCCATTTTACACTGCACTGCATATGTGTACAAAAGTGCTATAATACAAGATTCCAGTTACAAGCAGTAGGTATTTCATAACATACTGTTAGGCAGCCAGGGAGCCTCTGCTTTCCCACAAGAGCAAGTTCCAGTCTCAACATTTACACCAGTCTTCACACAAGATTAAGCTTCTCTGCACAAGGAGGGCGCTTCCAGCGTCAGCCGCCCCTTTCCCTGTGTCATCTGTCTCCTATGAGGCCCCAGGCAGGATCAGATCCTCCTGTGCCACTACTCTGGGTCACCTTGTCATGCCACACTTTCAGACGTCAGGTTACTGGGTACAGGAGCAGCAGGGGACAAGTTCAAGATCTCTTCAAAGGAAGGGCCTTCATCCTCAAGGGGTATCTCTGCCTCAAACATACGCTGGAGCAGAGCATCAACTGTCCTGTACCCTGTAGGTGGCCAAAAATAGTCACTGTGAGCTTCTGTTCCTGTTCCTCAGAAGTTAGGAGGTAGCTATCTCGAGGCGACTCTTACCTCAAAGGTAAGAAAACAAATGCCACAAATTATGTTCCCTGGTGTTTTGCCCCCTGTACTTTTATGCACTGTGAGTGCTTGTAAAGGCTAAGAGCATTATATTAGTATTTTAAGCACTTCTGTTCCTGCATGTCCTCCTCAGCTGCCATGCTGAGAAGCATGAGACTGAGGAACCAGCAAGAAAGCCATGGAAAAAAGCAGGCACTAAGCTAAAGGAAAGGAGGATATAGTCACCCCGTGATCCAAGCCAGGAGGGTTGCAGAGCACATACAGGAAGGAGAAAAGCAGAAACTGGGCTTCCTGGCACCAGCAGGACCATGGCAGTGTCTTCACAGAATGGCTATTGAAGCAAAGCACACACAGCAGGGCCGAGGTAGAAGAGAGGAAATGAAGTTGCTAGAGAAGTAAAAAAGCAACAGGAAACATTAGAATGTCCACAGTTCTCTAAAAATCACCAGCTGGGTTTTAGCTGCTTTTATAGCCCGAAGGAAGGAGAAGTGCGTGGGAGCTTCCCCAGAGAGGGCTACCACCAGGGGCAGTTCAGAGCCTTGGTCTCACCCAGAGCACTGCAGGGCTGCACTTACGTTTGGAGGCAATTTTAAACACCAGCCCTTTTGCAGGGGGCTTTGTTCCCCCTTCCACCTCAAGGCTGTGTGCAGTGCTCTCCATGTTCTCCAGCAGCTGCTCATCCCGGAGCTCATCCCTACAAAAGAAGGGGCCAAAGTTACCCCGGGAAGGGAACATCCCACCCCAGGGGCCCACCTGTACCCAGCAACAGTTAATTCTCTAGGGCAGGAGAAGCACCAGTCATGGTGTTAAGTCTTCATCATCTCCCCCATCCTCTTGCAAACAGTCCCAGGCTGGAAGAGCTCAGAGAGGCCAAGGTGAGTAGCCTTCTCCTACCATCTAGACTAAGCCAGCACAGTCATGACAGATCAGCAGTCACTTTGTGACAAGAAGAGGAGTCTCAGCTCACACCTCGGGATAGAGGGTAGCTTTTTCAGCCCTCATCAGATGTACCAATCAAGCCACATCCAGCATAACCCTTTTGGGGCTTACTCTTGAACTCCCATTCCCAGCTCCTGGATTTTCTGTTCAATGGCTGTTTCTACTTCACTCTTCTCTAGAGAGTACTCCACAAAGAACGCTTCCAAAATGAATGACACAAAGATACTGAAAGAAATGAGGAACAGAATTACAAGACAGCTTTTCCTACTGCCTTCCTACTCTTTGCTTTTGGGCATCAACTACTGACTTGGAATTCCTGGGCTTGTTTCCCAGCACTCATTCCCCTCCTCTGCTGGAGACAGGGAGCTCCAAGTCAGAGCAGCACTCGATGGAGGCAAGAATAGGTGCAGCAAATACCTCTGACACATGTTCCTTAGAGTCACTGTGTGTGACCATCAGTACCACCTCAGCCCAAGGCAGAGCCCTTCTTTCTTCCAAAATGGAGGAAACCAACGCAAAACTTACTTGACAATGATTATCACCATCACAATATGAAAGGCAATGAAATAGAGCTTCGCAGGCTGAGCAGTCACATTGGCAAATCCATTAGCAAAGAGTACAATGGGAGTTAAGGACAAGAGAGCTAAAAGAGAACATCTTGCTGTAGAGCAGTTCTAAGGGAGGAACCAGATCATACTGCCCAGCAATGACCTTCTGAACAAAGCCCTCTGCAGGAACCCATGCCTGGTGTCCAGCACTACATGCATGGGTACATGCAACCCAAGAGGAATAGCATGACAGGTCCAAACTAGAGCTTGGTGGTCCACCACAAAGGATATCATGCCACTGATTGACTACAGTGAGCTCCATCAGGACAATGAAGGATGATGCAAAGTTGTTGAAGTTGTTCTTGCAGTATTTTCCACGGGCAAACAGAGAATCCTTGAGGGATGGGTTCCCACATTCCAGGGCGTGAGGAGCATTCGAGTTTGCAGGGAAGAACTGGATTTTCCCATGGAATAACTCCATGCCAACGATGGCAAATACACAGTACACAACCTGGGAAGAGAAACCTCATTGCCTGCTTCTCCAGTGATCAGCAAGCTCCATGGAAGTTTAGAGCTCCAGCACATTTTCCAGTTTTTACAAACATGGCAAGCTGCTGAGGAGCAGCATAGAGAGTCCAGGAGATCCAACCCATAAGGGCAATTATCAGGCAGAAATACTAAGCCAAGCATTACAGCTTAAATACACGGAAATAAAATATTCTCAAATTATGAGGCCAAATTGTTTTTAGGAAATAATTTGAGAAACCAGTGTCTCATGCAGCTTCTTGCTCAAACCAGAGTTTGATTCTTACAGTGTGAAGCCCAGACCATCCTCACTGCCCCATGGAGCAAAGAAGGATGTGCTGACATGGCAACTAGCAGGATCCCAACCCCTCTGCACACGTTTGCATGTGCAATGACCAAGGATGAAATGGACACTTACGATTTCAAAGGCCAGCCATCCAGAGATTTGCATTTATCCTCTTGGAAACAGCAGGAGCATGACACTTAAGACACATTCCTGTAAAACTGGAGTGCTTTGAGCTAAGATATCAGGATTTCTTACCAGAGTCAGCCCACCAAATGTCAACATTGTTGGCACGATGTTTATCAGTGTGTTCATGATGACCCGGAACCTACAGCAAATGATTCATGACAACACCTGCTGTGGAGAGGCTCTTTTAAAGCCCATGGTTGCTTATCCTCACACCCCATCCAGCACATGCTGCCCACATGCCCTTATTTAAAAGTAAGTCTGCAGAGAGGCTGCAGCAGCTGGGCTCATCCCAGGCATGCTGGGACAAGGCAGTGGGATGCTTTTGTTGAGTGGCCACAGTCAGCATGGCCACTGCAGGCATGCAGAACAACTGTCAAAGCAGGCATGCAGAACAACTCAAAGCACTGTTTCAGCCAGCCTCTGACAACACTTGCCCCCAGAACCACACCCCACTTCCTTCATTACCTTTGAATGCTGTCAACAATCCTTATTAGCCTGAGGACCCTTAAGATGAAGACAATGTCCAGAATCTGCTGGCTGTTGTATTTTGTGGCTGAGAAAGGAAAAAATACTTTTGGTTATGAAAAATAAGCAGAGAAGTTTAGAAATAACACATGTTCTTTATGATGATTACGTCCTTGTTAAATACTGTTTATAATAGGAAGTTATTAAAAAAATAAAAAAGACTGGGTTAGTTCTTAGAAACCCTATAGGAAATTCACTGTCTTGTCAAAAAACCTCTCAAGCCCAAGGTGATGGCAAAACACAACTCAAGACCACCGAGTTTCCCAGATGCATGCAGACTGCTCAAGCTGCACTTACTCGATTTCAGGGTGGTATTGAGTATCGTTGCAGTCAGGGCAGCAAAGATGATGAGGGTATCAAACCTAGCACGAGGGAAGGCAGCGCTGTTAGACTGGTGGGCAGCTGAGACTGGGTGCTTCAGCTGCTGCCCGACACAAACAAACAGTGACCCCTCTTCCTCATGCCTGTGCCAGACAGCTCCATGTCAGCTCAGACTCTTTGCTGGGTGGGAAGGCTTTAATTAGCAAAACACTTTCCCCTGCACAGTCACTATCTTCATATGTAACAGAGTCAATTTTGACCAAGATAAGAGAGCAGGGCAGAGAACAGTAGTCTCTATCAGAGCCAGGTTAGGCCAGGGAAGAGCAGAGTATACTCTGACACATACAATCATTTTAATTACACCTTGGCACAGGAGTTCAGCAGCAGAGTTCAGCAGCCCATCTCTCCCAGAGACCTTCAGTTCTTGAGGAGCGTTAGGCTCCTGTGTTCAAAAATCTCATGGCATTTCACACCACCCTTACCACAAACATTCATCCCACTCACCAGTTCCAGAACTGATTTTTGCCAAAGAACGCCCTTGGTTCATAAGTGTACACTTTCAGGAGTATCTCAATTATATACAAAGCGAGGAAGACCCACTCTGCATAAGAAACATAAGGGGTTTCCTCATCCAGAGCAATGAAGATGGCATTTATCAGAATGATCACATCGTAAGTCCAAACAAATCCCCTGCAAGAAGAAAAAGAGAAATCAGTTTGCCCCTCCAAAGAAGATAAAAAGTTACACAGTGATTTCAGGAGTTCTTCATCTCCCCTCTCAAGTATTTCCCCTCAGGAAACTCTTTAACCATCAACTCTTGCCAAATCTAAGAGTTAAGAGAAGTTCCTGCAGAGCTCAGCTTTGCCCTCAAAGTCCAACACAAAGCAGAACACAAGCCTTCAAGGTACATTACTGCCAACGCTCTCAGGATTGAACAAACTCCTAGAGACTGACTGCAGCTGAGTTTCCAACAAGTCAAGCAACAATTCTCAAGCAGGACTGGACCAGTAAAACAGTAGCATATACAGGACGGGGAGGTGAGCTGGTACATCAAATGGGTGTGCTGGAGTCAGAGGGACATGGGCCAGCTGGGGAAGCAGGCAGAGAGGAATCCCACCATCTTCAAAGGGGAAGGCAAAGTCCTGGTCTTTGGGAGGAATAACCTCAGGCACCACTGCAGGATGGGGGTCAGCCATCTGAAAAGTGGGAATGCAGAGGATCTGAGGGGGTCTTGGTTGAGAGATGAGGCAGCAATGCACCCTGGTGGCAGAGGCAGTCAACAGCATCCCGGGCTACATGAGGAAAAGTGATGTGAAGATCTCAAGGGAAGCAGTTTCCCCCATCCTGCCACCTACTCCCTACTGGTGAGGCCACATTTGGAGCGCTCTATCTGCACTGGGCTCCCCAGTGCAAGAGACACGACCATACTAGAGCCAGTGCAGCAAGAGGTCACACAACCAATTAAAGGACAGGATAGTCTGACATGACATGTTGAGAGAACTGGGGCCTGCCCAGCTTGAGAGAAGTGTCAGGGGATCCCGGTATGTACAGATACCTGATGGGAAGGTGGAGAGAAGATGGAGCCAGACTCTTCTCCGTGGTATCCAGTGACAGCACAAGAGGCAAGGGGCACAAGTTGAAATATAGGATTTTTCCATTTAAACAAATAAGTTCGTTGTTTTTTCTTAAACCAAAGGTGGTTAAACATTAGTACAAGTTGCAGGGAGATTATGGAGTCTTCATCCTTAGAAATATGCAAAATCCAACCGGATATAGCCCTGTAGCCTACTGTAGCTGACCCTGTTTTGAGCAAGGGGGTTACATGAGACCATCTCTAGATGTTCCTTCCAAACTCAGTGAATTCACAATTCTGGAAAGACTCAGATGTGAAACAGAGCACTAGTAGCTCTGAGTACTAACTTAGAGCTGATGGAATAGCACAATGCAGCTTTGCAGCAGAGACAGCTGAGGAAAGACGACTTTTAAGTGAAGCATTTGGTGTGGTGCTTCAAAGGGGGGCATATAGCACTTCTAGCTTTCAGTAAGAACTATTTACATGCAGCACTTTTAGAAGACCTGAACAAGTGGGACGAGAAGAGGTACGGACTTGCCAACAGTCAAGACCAGTTTCTCCTCACCACTGAAGGTAGGTTAAGAGCAGAGCTGGTGCACAGACCACTTTTAAAACCAGAATGCCCATTGTTTGCCTAGATGCAGTTTGCAGCAGGACACCCAGAGGAGCACATGCTTGCACCACCACTGGTCCGTAGCCCTTTGGCTGCGAGGGGCTGCCAGGACCACCAGCTCACCTGTGCCTGACCATGCTGCGCAGGAAGCGGCTCACAGCAGACTGGTAGAGCCCAGGCAGCCACTGCCCCAGCGGATGGCTGCGGATTTTCAGGGTGATCACCTGGATGTTGAGGAGGTCTGCCAGCTGGACAAAGGACTTCTTGTCTGCAGTAGGGGAAAGCACTGCACATTGGTCTGTGGTCAGTAAAAAGGCAGGGCCTGGCAAATGCAAATGAGTTGCAGCAATCTGGGCTCTGTATCAGTTCACAGCAGCAGGCAACACACACACCCAGTGTGGCTTCCACCACAGTGGGCTGAACTCAGTAACTCAAACAGCTCCTTTGCCCCAGGCCTGGGGGTTGACTAAAGCCACAGGCCAGAAACCAACACAAACCTTTAATGATCAGGATGGGCTTGGTCTAGCATGAGGAGACTGACCCAACTCTCCTGATATCTTGTCTCCAGCAGGAGCAGAATGAGAGGTTCCACAGGACTCCTCCACATTGCTTAGAGGAATCTGGTAACAAGAGAGGTTTTCCTCCTCCTGTGCTGAGAACAGGAGGTCCCAATCTCCATGGTGAGTCAGCCTGACGTCAAATGGCCATGAAGAGCTGCCTACAGCATACATGACACAGGCTACAGCACAGGCAGAAAGAACAACCTTTCAGAATTTAAGTAATCTGGAGGGAAGGAGAAAGAGGGGACTGGAGTCCCTCTGAGTCCATTACAGACTACAAGTCACAAAGCCAAAACCCTTGAAGCATCAGGCTCCTGACCCTGAGCTCCTACCCAATCCCTTGAGCCTAGCAGTGCCCCACTGCTCACCAATGAAACCCTTCTGCTCATCATCAGAGATGTGTAGCAGCAGTTCTCGGTGGGAGTTGCTGATATCAGGAGCCACCAGCTTGACCAGCTGCTTCCACCGGGCTTCTCTGACCACAAACTGTGCTCCTTCCTCTTCCTTCAGGAGGTTGAATGCCTCTACCATCTTGCGGCGCTTCATGTAAGCAAGTTTGCGGATCTCATTCTAGAGAGAGAATCATGATTCAGGCAGTTTCAGTCACCCTTCCACTTCCTTTTCTTAAAAAAAACAACAATCTTATTGTCATGGCACAAAGGTGCAAGAAGAGACTCAGAGGAATACACTTGGGAGTGACAAAGTAGAGCACAGTCAGCAGGGGTGATGTGAAATGCTATTTAAGAAGCAACCCCAGGCTCCGCACAGCACTCTGGAAGGACCAATAGATCACTTGCTGCTGGGAGATGCACTGAAATATCAGAAAACCCAAAATGATAGTGTCTAACAGGAAGAATATGGCAAAGATCACAGGATCTGCATGTGTCTGCACGTGCTTCCCATCTGTCAGTGAATGCTGCTGAGATCAGGGGTGGAGATGCTCTTCTGCACACAATTACAAGCAGGCTAAAGAACCTCATACTCTCGGGAGACCAGCCTCCGGAAAGACCTATCAGGCTGCTTACTGAGCAAGAACCAATCCCCTCATGGAAGCAGCCAGGAATTTGCAGCTTTCACCATTTGATCACAAGTAACAAACTGCACCTACTCCATTTGGGTAGAAGAAACAAGAGTCTTTTTACTTAGACCTCCCTTTCCATCTCCATTGCTTTAAAAGCACATTCTGTAGCAGAAAAAGCAAGTGTGCTGGGAGCTTACAGCTGGAAAGAGTCTCTGGCATAAAGATAGAATTTCTGAGCTCCACACTTTCCAGAAGCAGAAGCCTTCTAAGGGAAAGCCAGGTAACTCCTTACAAGGTTACACAGAACAGCAGGTAGTCAGTAATCACCATTTACCCCTCCAAACCTTACCTTCAAGTGTTTTTTGTAGTTATTGTACACAACAGCCAGGAAGAGTGACATGAAGATGTAAGTGTTGACGATGACAAAGGCAATGAAGAACAGGGCATACCATGAGCTGAAGTCAAATGCTGGCATCCTAGAGAAGGGGAGAGAGATTGCTCCTTGCTAAGCAGACAGAGAAAAATAAAAGAAAACACAAGAAAACAGTCTTCCAGATGGATTTCAAAGTACTGTTTTGCTTTAGATAAAACCAAAGCTAAAAACTGTGCTTGAGTTCAGTGACAGAACAGTTTTCTTCCATTAGGTTTTCAACCTAGTTTATGAGGCCTTGACTGAAGAGACACAGGAGAGAAAGCACAGAGATTAAGCTTCTGTCAGTGTGGCTAAGTTTAAGTACAGTGTCTGAGGTGAGGTCTCAGTCACAAGCTGGTTACTGGCTTCACACTCTCCCTGCACTCAGACCTCCCCTTCCACTTATTCCAGGAGGACTAGCAGCATTTCTGTCTAAATGCCTGGGGCCCCTGCAGCATCCCAGCTCTGTCCAGTACATCTCCAGCACACAAACGAGCATGCCATTCCTCCCTGCCCCTCTCTTTGATGGCGCTTTCCCAGTACAAACTGGTGGGAACCAGTTAGAACCAATGAAGCTGGAAAGCCCAGCTCTCACCTAAATCTAACACAGTTGTGCAAATGAAATTCTGCATAGAAAGCCTTGCAAATATTACGACAGGAAAAGGCAAAGGATCACTAGAGCACACCCTTCCTTTTCAGGAAAGGGTTTTAATCAACGACAGTGGATGTGTTTGTCCCTCTGGTTTAAGCCTTTGTCAGCTACTGGGTCATTTGGAAAGCAGCATTTATAACGCATCTTTTCCAGAAGTCTTCCTATCCTCAGATTCTGGCTCAGATCCATTTATAAAACAGATGGCTGAGAATTCACAGAATACCACAACAAGGTATTTCAGAGCAGCAACAGGGCTTTGACTTTTCCAGCCTGCAGGGGCTTGTGAACTCTCAGTCATCTGTTTTCTAATACCTTGTTGTGCAGAACACAGTCCTGCTCTGACCAGACATCCTGCTGCTAGGAGCAGGACAGCAGCGTTCACAACAGAAAGCCTGCAAGCTCAGCAGACATACATGACATCCGGGCTGTTTGCTGTTGTCACCAGCACGTAGAGGTCAAACACAATTTCTAGGTAGTTTTTGAAATACGGCAAGCCTTCTGCTGTCTGGAGATTCCTAGGAGGAAAAGGACAGCCTGAAGTTAAGCAAAAAGAGATCACACGTCCCACCACAGGAACTGCATGTATCAGCAGTGTTTGTATTAATTAGTAATCATTTGGAGCTGCCAGATTCCCTCCTTCCTGGAAGGATCACACCCACTCTTCCCACCCAGACCTGAGCAAAACAAGTATTCACACCTCTCACCAAACAGCTTCAAGGCCATGAGGGAGAACATGAGAAGGCTAAACATGAAGAACAGGAAGACGTAGGTGATCTCTGGCAGTGTGTTGCGGATGCTGCGGAAGGCTCTCCGAATCTACCAGGGAGAAGGGAAGTGTTTAGAGGCAAAGTGGTACCTGTTTTCCCTCTCACCATCCCATCCATCTGGATCAAACAACTGCACAGGGACAGGCAAGCAAAGTGGAACACACTTCTGTCACCTGGGTTAGAATCTCCCCTGCTGGATGCTGTTCTGCTAAAAACTGTGCAAGAGTATCAGGCCTTTCATCCTCTTTCTCCAGAGGAGATGCTAGAAGGGAAACTCTATCTACATTGCATCAAACTCAGCTAGCCAAGGGACAGAGGGCCCTGTGGCACCACTGAGATGCTCTTGCTGCAGGGGACTGGTCGTGGACAGAAGCCCAACACTCCAGGCTGCAAAGCACTCATCCTGCACTTGAGAGTTGAACTGCTCCCTCCTCCAGGCCTTCACAGCAGTCTATTCATTTATAAGTCAGGACCAGAAAGGTCTTGAGCAGCAGGGCAAAGATCTCCCTGTGACAGGAGGGATCAGAGTCCAAATCACCCATCTGGACTACAAGTGCAGTTTCTGAGAAGAGCATGACACTTGTTTGTTTGCTTGGGAGCCTTCCAGAAATTAGTAACCTGGCCCCTGACCAAAGGAGAAAGAGTTCTCGCCTGCGGTGCTGCTCACATTCGCACCTCCTGAAGACAGCCTCTACCTCTGCTTGCAAACAGAAGCTGGACCAAGCACAGCCCATGAGCTGAACTCATATTTGCCTTCTCTGTGCAGTCTTAAACTTCATTAAGCATCATCTTCCCAAAAGCATCATAGCAGCGTGGTGGCTGAGCAGCTCTGGTTCCAGCCCCAAGGGCTCTGCACAGCAGTAACCCAGCCCATCAGTACAGGGAGCCTGAGAAGCACCAGTGCAGATACATCCTTTTCTCCCTTTCAGGCCACCTCTGAGAGAAGCCTTCACTCACAGGAACCCAGGTTCTGCCATTTCTACCCAAAAACCTTCCTACTAAACCCCATGGATCTCAAAGCAGCAGGCTGTCCAAAAACAGAGCGCTACACCAAGGGTACATCCCATACGACCTCTTCCTCACCTGGCGACTCTCTGCGAAGTTGATCAGGAAGATGGGCCTCCCAATTCTTGACCATCGAATGCTCTTTATGTTGTATATCCTGAGGGCCCCACATATGGCCAAGTCAGTTAGGGATAACTGTAGAAGGAAGAAGGAAAACTCCCAGAAGCAATGTTGGAAGTGTGTCTAGATGGTAACTATTGTTTGCACACATCGTTGAGAACGGGCCAAGCTGTTGGTTGACTCAGCCGTGGCTCTCGTAGAGACCTTGTACTTCAGGCCTATGTTACCAGGAAAGCGACTGGAGGAAAGAGCCTTGTCCACATTGGCCACTTCAACCTCAGAGGCTCCCCTAGGCCTAACTCACCAGGATTGTCACCATGATGCAGATATTCTTGGTGTCCTTCCAAAACACATTGGGAGGGGTGACACTTGCAAAATGTGTCAGTCGGCCAAGGAATACCAGAAGGCACAAGACCTCGACCAGAGATGTGACCTGCAGAGAGAGAAGGGGTGCAAGTCAGGGCAACTAAGAGCCAGACCAGTCCTCTTTGCGAAGATGAGGGTGCTGAGGCAAAGGAAAACCAGGCAGAGTCAATATAAACGTTTTGCCAGTGGTTTCTGGCGGTTTTACAGGCTCATATATCTGGCACTGAGCAATAGTTTCAGGCCTCCTTTTGTGCAATTCCCTGCCACGGGCAGGTTAAAGGCAGTAAATTGGTGTTTGCTTAGGAAGCCAGGAGTACATCTCTCACAGACACACTAGTGCAGAACAAATAAAGGCTGCTGAAAAATCAGTCCCAAGGACAACACTCCACTTATGCTCTGAGACATGAGGACAGCACTTGGGTCACATAGAAGGCTGGAATTGCTCTCAGAGACGCAGAAAAGCAACATGACTCTGTCTGTGGTCACACCAGCCATTGCTGACAGCCACGATGGCTCCTATTATCCCTGTCTACCTCCTAGGCCCTTTTTTTTTTGCCCCCATTTCAGTAGATGAAAGATATCAAAAGAAAGATCAGTAGCAATTACTTCTTGACATCTTGACAACTTGTTTCAAGCTAGAAACCCTCACTTGCTCTGCCGAGCAACCCAGTGGTAGTTACATTGCTGCTTCTACACTACAAACTCACCAGGAAGGGGAGTGGATACACAGCAGGTTCTTCAAACATTGCAAGGGACAAATTAAGAAAGATGAAGAAGTAGGTGGCTGTTCGCATGATCCAGTGGTTGTAGAGGTAATAAAGCCTGCAGAAAGAGGGTAGCAGTGCCATAAATTAACTTTATTATAAATAAAAATAACCAAACTTCAGCACACATACCTATGATCTTACCAAATACACCTTGGGAGAACAGCACATGCTGTCCCAAACAGTCATGGGGGAAGAAGGGTAACAGCAACACTATTTTTGCCAGCCAGGGATTTGATACTTTGTTTCCCAGCCCTTTCTTATGCTCTCATAACTGATGGACACTACACTGCCTCTCAAGGAGTGAAAAAAAACAACAACAAACCAAAACCCAGGAAGGTGCACTACAGGCATTCTTCAGTTAAGACTGCAACATACAGATTTGATAAAGCTTATCTTGTTCCTTAATTTGAGTGCAAGCTTCTGCTAGGATCAGGTATCCACATGACACACAAACTAGGTCTGATTAGTTATCTAACACCCTTTCTTTGCAGGTTAAAGAGATAAGAAAAGCCACCAGAGAGAAGCACGAGTCGCACAGTGAACAGTTTTGGTTGTGTTTGGTTTTTTTAAATATACACAGCTCAAGCAGTATTCTGCCCCTTGCAGCAGCAAAACCTCTGGTGAATGCTAGTAATAACTCCAAACACATCCAGCTCTAGGCTTCCACAAGAGGTCTCGCACAACTGCATACAACAGTGGGGAGATGTGGAGCAAATCCGTGGGGTATAAAAATAATAATAAAATAAAGAAAATAAAAATAAGAATAAAAAGCTGGCAGCATTGCCAGTCAACTCAGCTGTCCAGTAACCACCTGCACAAAGGCTACAGCCTGAGCCTGAGGGAAGTGACCTCCCTGACTGAAGCTACTCAGCCTCAAAAGGGGAGAGAGTCACCATTGCAAAGAAAACATTCTTGGCCTGGGGAATTTCACTTAATTTACTGCCAATTAACATCAGCTTTTAATTACCCCTGCCCCTAGCAGCTACCACCCTTGCTGAAGTACACCTGAGCACAGGTGCTATGTACTCCTTTGATTAGCTGAAGCTTTGCTGTGCAGCAGGTTGGATGAAGCTTCTCAAAATCTTCATCCTCACAGAGTGTTGCAGCTTCACTCTTGAAAAAATACTTTTTTTTTTTGCTTTAGCAAAAACCAAGTTTTCATTTCCTTTCATGTCCTCAACATACAGATGTGCTGAGCTTCATTCAGCACATGCTTTTCAGCTCTTTGCATCCCACCCACCACACCTCAGTGTCCAGCTGGTGAACCTGAGCTCCCCAGCCTTTGCTGGCTGTTGTTCTTTGGACACAGGTAGAATCATGGAATTGTTTGGGTTGGAAAAGGTCATCAAAGCCAACCGTTAACCCAGCACTGCCAAGGCCACTAAACCATGTCCCTCAGCACCACATCTACACAGCTCTCAGTCCTCCCAGAGATGGGGACTCCACCACTGCCCCGGGCAGCCTGTGCCAGGACCTGAAAACCCTCTGGGGGAAGAAACTGTTCCAAATATTCAATCTAAACCTCCCCTGGCACAACTTGAGGCCATTTTCCCTGGTTCTATCGCTTGTTTAGGAGAAGAGACCAACCCCCCCCCCCCCCCTCACTCCAGCCTCCTTTCAGGCAGTTGTAGAGCATGAAAAGGTTTCCCCTCAGCCTCCTTTTCTCCAGGCTGAACACCCCCAGCTCCCTCAGCTGCTCCTGGTAAGACTTGTGCTCCAGACCCTTCAGAACCTTGAGCTGCAGTTGGCTCTCCACACACGTAAGCCCAGCACAGAGCCCTGCTCTAAGGGAGCAGCACAGGTGTCCAACAGAGACACCTCACCACAGCCTTCCTTACCTGACCGCCTCCGGGGAGGTCTTGAAAGGAATGTTTCTGTTGTGCTGTGCATCGGAGACAAACGCTGCTGCCAACAGCAGATCCTGCGGAAAGGCAAAAAGACACAGGCAGGCGCTGGAGCCTGAACTGAACTTCATGCAGACACCCAAAGGGGATCCCCTGCACCCCGGGGAATGCCAGAGAAGGAAGCGGTACGAGGGATGCTGCGGACCCAAACACCCGCGTCCCTGTGCTGCTGCCGAGG